AACCAGGATATATTGAATTCTTTTATTACCTTTTAACTGGTGCTACAATAATTTCATTAAGTAAAATTACTACTTGTAAATCAGACTTTTGGTAGCTACATTCATCTCAAGGCTTTTGTTCTAAAATAACAAAGAATGTGAACTTTTAAAAATTCAGTTTTATCAACCAAATTTCAACCATTCAATTCATCTTATAAATCGCATATTTAAGATTGTTTTGCTTGGGTATAATTTTCAATACTTTTCCAGTCATTATGTTTAGCTAAGATTTTGCCATGCTATCTGTTACTGTTGGTTAGCAAATAGGTTTGACTAATTATATTAATAATTTATTCAATTTTAAAGCCCACTTATCGGGCCTCAACTTAGCTAACAAACTCATTTGTCTCAAACTTTTAGCTATTTCAACTAGTTTTCTTTTACTATTTCAAATTAGCTTTAACTAGTTTTTCTACCCAATTACTTTTAGCTAACCTTTTAGTAGTCAGTTTAGCTAATTATGCTAACTATTAATTTTAAGAACATTTTAAAAACTATTTATCCCATATTAACTTTTTTTTAAATTAATTATATGAACCACATTTCAACCATTATCATATAAATTGTAGACTAAAGAGATTTTTGTTTAGGTAGAAGTGTCAGTGCTTTTCCAATCATTACTGTCTGTAATGTTAATTAGCTGATAAGTTTAGCTAATTATAGCAAACATTTATCCAATAAATTTAATTAAACATTTTTTGAGCCTCTGGTTGTTGCTAACAAATCTATTTAAACAATTTACTTTTATCAATTCTGTTTTCTTTATTTCAACCACTTTTTAAAAAAACAAATTACACTATTAAATTACCTTAAACTAATTATTCCCCAAAAGTTTTTGTTTTTACCATTTTTGTTATTTTAAAAGATTCTATATAATATTACATCTTTGCTTTTAGCTAACTGTAGCTGTTGTCTTTACTTTTTCGCAGTCATATTTAGCTAATAGAAACGTATCCATTACTTTTAAATCATTTTAAAGATATTTATCTATTTTAACTAGAAAGTTAGTTATTATAATTTGCTAACTATTTCAACCATAATTAAATGACTAACAATTTATCCATAACTTTTATCAACAAGTTGTCAAACAAACTATTGTTTTGTTGTTGTTTGTTGTTTTTTTCACTATTTCCAGCCATTACCCTTTAATCTGGGCTAATTACTTGGAACTTTTAGATAACTATTTAAACCAGTTACACTAATTATTGCACTTATTATTCTACATGGCGTCACAAATTATGTAAAATTGCACACCTTTTGCCAAGTTTCGCATATTATGTCTACGCATTTTTACTTGATCAGAAGAAAAAATGCTTTTGATTAGGATTACATTCAGGGTAAGTACCCTAAATCCTCAACTTGGCAAGATAAAATGCAAAATTGTGATTTTAGATAACAGGAATTGTTTTAGCTATTTTTTTCTATTAGTTTTAAGTGTTTCAGCTGATTATAATTTAAAACATTTCTGCTAAAGTCGTATCCAGTTATCTGTCATTTCACATGTTCAGATGTTACCACTGACTCATCAAGAGGATGTCTTTTTTTCTTACTGAAATCTAATCTTTCTTTATTATTTAGTTACTTAGTTGAGCTACAAGAAAATTGGTCAATCAGTACTGCAGGTACCATTGACTGGAAAATAGTCATGAGATAAGACAGAGAAACTAAATCAATAACAATCAGTCCAGCTTACTTGTCATCCCTTAAACATGTAGTTCACATTCAGGAAAGTTTATCCTCAGTAAATTAAAGCTTCACATCCTGGCATGATTTAATAATGTGACTGATTATACAATATTGTTCTTGTATCTTTATTTTGATTTTTCTTTTTTTAAACTGGAGCTGTGTTAATGACAAAAAATATTGTAAATGGTAACATTCCCATGTTGAATATTATCAAAATAGATAATCCAGGGTCACTTGATGTAGCATTTATCGGTTATGTCTTTAAGCTTTGTAAATCGCATGAAGCGGAAAATGTTCTTGGACGTCTCACCGGTGACCAGGGCGAGGGTGCATATACAGGAGAAGGTGGAGACGTCCAAGTTCATCCTCTGCAGATTGGCAGAAAATTCAACAATGCTGTCAATCCATTCGCCAAAGCCCCGCAGACACTGGAGCCGGTGCCACACTGACCCGTCACAGAAGATCAGTTTCCCTTCTTCTGGGTTGGATCTGAAATGTTACAACAGCCTGTGGTTAACGTGTGAAGCTGGAGAGCAGAGGTGAATAAATAAATAAGTAAATAGGCAAATAAATTCTATATAAAATGTGTAAAAGGTTATTTACCTGTACGACAACCGTAAAACAAAAAGTTCCAGGAAGGCAGAGTAGAAGAGAAGGTCTTGGTCATGTTTAGGTAGAGAGGTGAAACCCGGGATCTTCTGCGCCCAACCCCGAATAACCTCTATCGATCTGGTCAGGAGGTCATAAAACTGGCGGACATGCTGAGCATCGTCTCCTGGGGGACTTCCTGGATTCTCTTTAAACTGCATTTAAAGGTCACCGGTCGGATCAAATTGGAATGAAGGAGGATACCAATGATTATAACTCTACTATGTCTTAGTCTTTTATCAACAGTGTCAGTTCTACTTACTTTGGAGTAGTCCAGGCGAGAAGGTGGAGGATTGGACTCCACATGCGCCCTGATGAGGGCGCTTAGGAGGGCGCTGCCAGGTGAGGAGGCGTCTGGAAGAGCTCTGGGTTTGGACGGCAAGCGACCTCTTCGACCTTTCAGGCTGTCTGTCCTCACCACTGCAGAGGAAAAGATGAAGAGGGCGACACTTTTCAGCTCTGACCTCCTAAACGGCACCAAGAATAATGGTTTAAGAAGCTTTTTGGCTCTATCAGTTTACCTTCTTTGACCATTCCCACTGCGAGGCACTTCTGGAAACGGCAATATTGGCATCGGTTCCTTCTGCGTTTGTCCACAGGGCAGCTTTTGGCAGCCAAGCACACATACTTGGCATTTTTTTGCACTGTGCGCTGCACAGAGAGAAGAAGAATCTGCATATTACTCTATATACCTTTTGAAAAATACAATCCTGCACTTTAATAGGTTCATGGCTCTCGGGCTGAGGTGTGGTCGAATTTACATCAGTCTTCTTCCTGATCCAGCAAACACACCTGATGGTTAAAGGACTCTTTGGTTAATAAAAATCTGACTTGTTGGTGTGTTTCTTAAAAACTTGAAACAACTTTCAGTGCTCTAAACACATCTACCACTTGCTGCTGTTGACTAAAACTTTACACAGTACCTTTTCTTTTTCTAGTAAGAGATTTTTGGAAATTGTCTTGTAAAATGTTCAAATTAAAGCACACTTTTGGTCTCTAGAAACGTGTGCTGGTGGATTAGTCTGAAATATGGAGCCATATGGATCTTTTAAAATATCTAATATGAGAAAAAGGAACAAAAAAAACGGTCCCTATGAAAGAAACAACAAGAAGAGACATAACAATAGTAATAGCTGACTTTTTTTTTTTTATAAACATACTGTCATGACAATACATCTCAGAGGGCTCATTGTTAAAAAAAATACTTTTGAGCCATTTTAGAAAGATAAGAAAGGTAAAAGTAACCTAACAAGGGGTTAAATTGTTCCTTCAAAATTAATGGCAGCACTCTTGCTCCTGTGGGCCATCTGAGGCACTGAGCAGTCGGACAGGCAGGTCTGGGTAAATAGAGGGTCGTGGTCATTCATAATTTGGAGACTGGCCCCGGGGAATCTCCCAGTGAAAGACGAAGGAGAAGGTTTTGATTCACGGCACGTTGGTGACCATTTTCATACAGGACATTCGCGACGTTTAACGCACGTGTCAAGAGACCAAGAGAACAAAACGTGCCTCTGGAGTCTATTGTCCAATTTAGAAGGCCGGTCAGAGCTCCCCGGGGGAAGCTTTATATTATAGCCAATTACTTGGAATTAGAGTTGCATTATGGGATATAATTCCCGTGGGTGTGTAGTTATTTTTTCATCATATTTTTCACAGAAATGTTGGAAGACTTTTGTGCTAAAAAAGGGAGTAAATATCCATAAAAAACAACTTTCAGATCTTCAGAGTTTCCTTTAAAACTGCAGATTTGTATTAAGCCTTCACTGAAAACAAACCTTGAAGAACCCCTTGCAGCCCTCGCAGGTGCGCACTCCGTAGTGCTGGCAGGCTGCGTTATCCCCGCATACCGCGCACACCCCCTCTGAGCTCAGCGGTCCTCGGCCGGGCGCAGAAGAAGTCTGGTATTCCATAAAGTGGTGGCCGTGCGCGAGATGGAGTGGGTGAGCAAATCCAACACCGCTCTGTTTGCCCAGGCCGGTGGAGCCCAAAACGGTGGGTGTTTCCAGCTGCTGGTGCGCCAGAGCTCCGTCAAACTTCACCTGGCACGTGGACAAACTCTGGCCGTCGTGTTGCGCGTGTTTTAGGGACAGCAGGGAAAACCTGGACAGAGCGTTTTTCCTGTGCGCCGCCAAATAGTCCTGCCGAAAGCTGTACAGGGAGCCGGAGTCCTCCCAAATGTGTCCCGACGGAAGCTGGAAGTTGGGCGTGAGGGAGGAGTGCGGGGAGGGGGAGCGGTAGTAATAAACGGGGCTCGGGGAAGAAAGGAGCTCGTCTGACTGGTGCGCTGGGTGCTGATTCGGTTGATAGCGCGGGCACCCGTGCGCATCCTCCACCTTGACGCACGGCAGCTCCCCCTGGACTTGCATCTGAAACAGACACGGAGGCTTTACGTCGTACCCAGAGCCGTAAGAGTCCGCCAGGGGGCCGAAGGTGGGGCCCGAGGCTCCAGCCGACACTTCACTGTTAGTAAGATCCATGCTGAACTTGACAAACTCCGGAGTGAGGAAGTCGCAGCTGCGCTCTCCGCCGGAGCTCTGGGAGGCTGGGCTGGCTCCTTGAGGCGACGAGCCGCACTGGGTCTGGACGCACGGCATGATCACTGCAACAACACACGCAGATGATGAAACGTGTTTAAAAGTGCGATAAAGTAATGCTCTAGTGAGGCAATGTCGCTGGAATTCACCGTCAATGCTTTTTTGTTGATATATTTAATTATAATATTTTTTTTAAGGTGAAACAAGCAAACTCACCTTACAATTGATTTTCCACAACCTCCTATTGTGCCCCCAAACGTCTCCTGGCACGAAACAGAAACAACAGATAATTTGTTAGCGAGCCCAGTCTTAAACTCAAAAGAGTAACATTTCCACTACCTTAGATGTGGATCCAGTGCGGGAGGACGCTGGTGAGTAATCCCATCCCTACTGTGTTGCTGCTCGTGGATCTTCTGAAGCTCTCTGGCTGTATGGACGGAGCGATGGAAATGACTGTTCACTTCAGCCACTCTTTGGCTTTGCAGACTGGCTGCCAGTGGCACCGACAATGTGCTTTTGTTTACGTGCTTACGCGCTCCAAGCCCCATTACGCACGCACTGGCCACAGAGGGGTGGTGTGAGAGAGTGTGTGTGTGAGTATGTGTGTGTGTGTGTGTGTGGTTAGAAAGCGGCTCAGTGAATTTGGAAATTATGTTTATAATTAAGTTTAATGTAGTTTTAATAGATGTACGGCTGCAGTGGGGGATTCAGATTGGACTTATCTAGTTGTAAACGTGTGTAAAAGTATATAAAAGTATATAAAAGTACACTTTTTATGTAGTTTTTAAACACACAAGAATACTACTACACATGCTTTAATCTGCAGGGTGCTTGGTTTACTTATATGTGCACGCCTTCTGTCCTAAATAACAGAGGAAACGACAGCTGGCTCGTTGTTATTATCCCCAAGGAGGATGAAGAAAAGAGCGGAGTTGCGCAATCCTGCCTTTGCCTTACATCAATTTACGTGGCACCGCCTCCGCTCGAACCCAATTGGACGCTCTCAGCCGAGCTCCGCCCTCCGATTGGCTCTCCCCGACATCGCTCGACGTGCCCGCCGGGCTTCCTGGTTGTAGCTGTCAAGCGCTCACTCAAGCTACGGTCTGGATAGCTACCGATGCCCCCAGTCGCCGACCTGCATCGCCCCGAGCGACTTTTATCCAGCCACGAAGCACCAAGTCCTGTAAGTGGGAATGTTTGTTGTGTCACCCGGTGATTTTCGGACATTTTAAAGCCGCTCTAAATGATTGTCTAACCCGTGTTTTTCTTTTCCGACCCTAATAAAGGAAAATTTTTCTTCGCTAGCCGCTATAGGGCTGAGAGACTACCCTTCAGTTTTATCGTGTTCGTGGAGCTAAACACGGGCCATATTTACGTGTCTTTTTAGGCTATTTAAGCCCGCGTGAACGGCTAAATATTTCACACACCCTTTGAAGTGTATGTAGCCTTTTCTTCTTCTTCTTCTTTTTTTACAACGTAAAGGCGAAGGTCAATAATAAACTCCCCCCTCAGAGACCACACCGACACTGATCGCTTACATTTTGATCCACGGCAGGACAACAGTTAAAGATCAAACCGACTTCCTCTTGTGTGGCCCGGCGTACCTGCATCGGTATACCACCACCTGCTGTTAAAAGCAAACACTCCCAAGTAGGAAATTTTGAATTAAAAGAAAAAGCCACAAATTTCACGTGTTTCTTCATAAAAATCACCCCCTTCTCCTCTTCCGGATTCATAATGAGCCTGCAGGCTGCTCTAAGTGAAAGCTGGTGACTTTCCCCAGTGACACGAAGACACCAGTAGTGGCATGAATATGGTGTGCCATGTTAATAACATAGAGTTTAAGAGTCTTAGTTGCTTCACTCACAAAATCAGGGGTGTCAAACCTGAGGTCCGGGGGCCAGAATCGGCCTGGACTCCAACCGGTCAACTTCAAAAAGCAGGAATGAGGGTGTACATTTTGGCCTTTTAACTATATTTCAAAGGTTTTAGCTTTATCTTAACTGATAAACACCTCCCACATGGCCATTCATGCTACACCAAAGTAAATAGCTATGTAATAGATTTTTTGAGTTTGACATCACAGCACTAAAGGAGGCACCGATTGTGAAAGTCTGGGCTAGTGCTCATGTTTTAAAATGCCAGATTTCCCCACACAGCTGGTGCAATACCTTGTCCTTGAGGGTTTTTAGTTAATTGGTATAATTTATTCCTGTCTGTGAGAAACAAACTAGTGTTTAATCTTTGAACACGTAGCCAGCACAAACATAGCATGACATTCGTACACTTTTGGAAAATATTTTTTTCTTTTTGGAAAAAGAGAAAAAGTGGAACGATGGAGCGACTGGTCTCATTGTGAAACGTCAGGCTAATTATTTTCATCGTCACTTTGTTGGTGTCCACATTATGTGGACCAGTGATGTGGACCTCAAATGGGACCTTAATCTTCAAAATTAGCATCATGTTCTTTTAAGTAATGATTTAAACTTGTGATTGGGACCATAAACATATTAGAATAGTGCTTACTGAGGCCATAGGTCAAGGAAGACGTATCAGGGCTGTCAGATTTGTTTTTGAAAGTAGGAAAGTCGCCCCCTGCTGGACTTTTGGAGGCAATAAATTGCACACTGAGCTAAATTTGTCAGACTCACCTAGTCTTAATGCAGGTTTTCACACAGATTGCGTAATTTATCCTAGTTAAAGTTAACATAGTGAAATTGTGCTTTGTTAATTGATATCTGGCTGTTGGGTAATTGCTAATAAATGGTAAATGGCCTGTATTTGTATAGCGCTTTTCTAGTCCCTAAGGACCCCAAAGCGCTTTACACATCCAGTCATCCACCCATTCACACTCACATTCACACACTTGTGATGGCAAGCTACATTGTAGCCACAGCCACCCTGGGGCGCACTGACAGAGGCGAGGCTGCCGGACACTGGCGCCACCGGTGTCTGACCACCACCAGTAGGCAACAGGTGAAGTGTCTTGCTCAAGGACACAACGACCGAGACCAAGCCGGAGCTCGAACCGGCAACCTTCCGATTACAAGGCGAACTCCCGACTCTTGAGTCACGATCGCCATTAATAGTTAAACCCAGTCAACAACTAAGATGGCATTTACTGATGTACTCTCTCTGGGTGTGTCCTTTGGCTTCTTTCCATCCAGGCTTGCTTGGAAACTTTCAAAGGGAGGCGCTGTTTAGATACCACACCGCATCAGCTGGCTCATTTTGACGTGAAGGTTCAGAAGCTTTACTTCGACTAAAATCTTTTTTCAAAGACTGCTTGAAGCCCTGTAGAGTCCATGCCTATTTGGTACATCGTGGTGTAATAACTAGAAGATAAAATGCAGACTAGGACTGGACACTTCAAGCAAAATGACTGTTTGTTTGATTTTGATGTCTTTTGAACATGTTTTAATTCACCCAAACAAAATTCAGAAGAAGGCAAACTTCAGCCTGACTTATAGGTGTGAAAAAAGTTGATACTGTTATTAATTTGTAGTTGTTGTTTTGAGAGGAAAAGTTTAGAATTTGGTCAAAAGTTGGCAGTAAAAATAATAAAAGACAGCGTTTGTGTGGCTAATGTCTGGCTGCCACAGTGGTATGCTACATGTAATAGGTCATTAATTACAGCAAACTGCTTGTTGACCTTTGGGCCATCTGCTTTATTAAAATGCATTAGAATCTGCTGCGGTGCACTGCGCTCCCTGGAAACTTGTTTTTCGGCATACGTTACAGTAGGAATGCAAATACTTTACTGGGGCTCACCTGATGGGAATTGAAATTCGTGGGCCGGCGTGCAGAGCAATGTGTGTCACGTCGTGCTCGTTACGGCACAGACTCATTATCAGAATATTAAAGAGTCAACATCATCATATTCATTGGGGATCAATTTTAGTTGCATTTTCTTCAAGTATTATTTTCTCTGATGTAACCTGTAAAACCTGACCAGATGAGTTTTAATTATAGTTATTTACTGCATGTAACCTGGTTAGACTTTATACTTCCTTTGTCAGAGAGCTGAAGAAATTATGTTTTTTTGGCATGTTATGCATTTGATGCTAAAAAGTTCTGCTTCTTCTTTGCTGAGATTTGCTGCTTTTTTCTTTGTTAAACATCAGCACTTACTATTTGCTACCATTTTATACACCCGATGATCGTGTAATGTTAGGCAGTAATCGATGGGTAGATTAATGATGAAACTGTTCCTTCTATAGTCCCTTTTTACACAGGTAGAATTACACTTAGTGGCCAAAGGTTTGTGGACATCTAAATGATTTACTGATATGTTCCAGTAGACATGGAATTTGGATTCACATTCAGGGGTTTTCTTGGTTCAGAGTGAGCCTTTTTGTTCCACATATACATATAAATATATTATAAATATGAGTAACTAAAATCCATACTTGTTAGAAATAACAGTGATCACCTATTTAGCTCACCAGGCAACCGCTATGATGTAAGGCTAATGAAGAGGCCTGCCCCAAGGCCATTTAATGTAAGTCTTCTGATCTTTTTCTTCTGAAGTTTTTATGCCTTCTCTCATCTGAACTAGAAATTCCAAAAATATGTGTTTTTTTTCTTCGTTATTTAAACTTAATAAATAAATTTGGTGGTTTTCCTTTAGTGGGATGCCAAAACATTTTTGAGTGGTCAGGAAAAATGCTGATATTGTTGTAGAAATAAGCCGTTGCATTAGGATCCACATCGAATTGAACATGTTTTTCAAATTCAAATTCAAATTTTTATTTGTCACGTACACAGTCATACACAGTACGATATGCAGTGAAATGCTTAGACAACTGCTCGTGACCTAAAGAAAAAAAAAATACTGTACAAGTATTAACTGGAAATGAAGAATATAGTGACCAGTGTTGTGCAATCCACATTATGTCTTGTGCAGTGCAAATATGCTTAAAGTGATTTAAGTGATGAAGTGAAAACAATGTCCAGAATGTCCAGTGTGTGTGTAAGAACTGTATGTGTGGGTCAGTACTGTGTGGTGGTGTGATTGAGAGACCGTATCGCCTGCGGGAAGAAGCTCCTCCTCAGTCTCTCTGTGTTGGTCTTCAGGGAGCGGAATCGCTTTCCTGACCTCAACAGAGAGAACAGTCCGTTTACCCTACATGTCACATCTCACCTTATAATCTTTAGCTTTGTTTGAAGTTAAACAAGTTTTAGCTGCTATTGCCACGGTTCAAATTCAAATTCAAATTCAAATTTTATTTGTCACACACACACAACCATACACAGTATGACATGGGGGTGAAATGCTTGTAGCTGTACAATGTCCGACCATTAAATGACAGAAGAAAAGTTTTACAATATTTACAATTTACTACAAAAATTTACAAATTAACTTAGGAATTTACAGTAAAGAATGTGCAAATAGCAGAAGAGATTATAAAGATAAGGATTATAAATTATAGGAATTATAGGATTATAGGAAATGTGTGGTGGTGCGTGTGGTGACGTGTGTGAGAGTCCAGTCTTATAGTGACGTGTTTGGGAGAGTCCAGTCCTACACCTGGTTCAGAGCCCGAATAGCCTGGGGGAAGAAGCTCCTCCTCATTCTCTCTGTTTTGGCCTTAAGGGAGCGGAAGCGCTTCCCAGACCTCAACAGTGAGAAGAGTCCAGCAGTGTGGAAAGCAAGAAGTTGATCCCAGCTGTCAGGAGACAGGACTTGATAAAATCACAGCTTTATTGCTAGCAGTCCATTAAAAACAAAAGGCCAAAAATATGCTTAACGGGGAACTTACTTGGAGGAAAAGTCAGAGAGTGCTGGACAGTGAAAACACACTTCCATGTGGGGGAGGACGCGACAAAAAACAGAGAGAGACTCTGAAAATAAATCTGCAACAGGTAACTAGGGAGATGGGAAACACCAGGGAACACAACTTACATCAGGTAAAATAGGGAAGGTAAAACTCAATACGAGGTACACAAGACTATCAAAATAAAACAGGAAATGGCTAACACTGAGACACACTAAGACATGCAGACTTGATGCAAATAAGCAAACATAGAAACACGATAGAAACAGAATGAAATTCCAAAAAGGGGAGGGCCAGACAACCACAGGAACCCAACTAAGGAAACAGAAAGACATCACAAAAAATGGTGACTAAATATTACAATACCAAGAAGATGAAGTGGAATATAAAGAAAGACTGTTGACAGAGGATAAAATAAATGATTAGGGAAAATAGCAAAAACACATTTTCAAAAACAAAAGGAGCCACTAAACTAGCATAGAAACACAAAAGCCATGACAGCTGTCATCAAAGATAAAATCAACCTACGCGACTTCCTAGGATCAGGTCTGTGTTTGCATGTTTAACAGGACTCAGAAGAGCGCCTGAAACTTGAAGTTTTTGCAGCTCTCCTGGTTTTCCTCCACAGTTTGAATGCCCTGCTGGGCAGCAGTTACTTATGAAAGTGTGCTGAATGTGTTGACGGGCGATCGTAGCTCAAGAGTTGGCAGTTTGTCCTGTAATCGCAAGGTTGCCGGTTCGAGCCCAGGCTCCGACAGTCTTGGCCGTTGTGTCCTTGGGCAAGACACTTCACCCGTTGCCTACGGGTGGTCAGAGGGCCCGGTGGCACCAGTGTCCGGCAGCCTCGCCTCCGTCAGTGCGCCCCAGGATGGCTGTGGCTACAATGTAGCTTGCCATCACCAGTGTGTGAATGACCTTAGGGACCAAGTAAAGCACTATACAATTACATTTACCATTTAATCCTGCTCTGCTGGATACACATAATAATTTTTCCATTCAGGAGGTTTAGCTAACAGTATTTTCCTTATTGATAATTTTGCCAGTTGTTTTTTCCGATATTTTAAATGTCACATGGCGAATAAACTTGTCTCTTTCATCCTGACTTGCAGCTTTTGGACCCTCCCACCTTCCCTTTATCTGCATACTACCTCACAGATTGGCATGCCTGGCATGTCAAAAGCCTGCTAACCCAGGTGTCTCTACTCTCTCTCTGTCTCTGTCCTGCCCTGTGCCTTCACTGCAGGGCCGATGGCGTTCAGGAGGGCTCTGAAACGGACGGCCCTTGTAGGCGGTGGGGCGGTTGCCACGGCGTTTGGCCTGTCACAGCTGATCGAGTACAGAAAGACACAGGTAAGAAGAAAACTCGCTCCAACAAATGTTTGCTTTCAGTTTTGTTTTTGGCTAGGACATCCACGCAGATGTTCTTTCACTTTGCATGGAATAGTTTATAGTTTGTGAGAGCTCCTTCTCCTTAACAAAAGAAAAAGAAGAGGCAGACATCTGTTTTTTAGGAAGGGAGTGCCATTCAGGGCATGTCCTGTCTAGATGTTGGAATGTGTTTGAGGTCTATTGGGTGTGTTTTCAGTCTTTGTATTTGATGCTTCACTTGCTGCTGTGCAGGAGGTCGTGATTGGACCTTGAGCTGCACAGAAACGGTGATTACAAATAGTATAATCGGCCACAGCAGCATCAGGTTTTACAGTGTTGTTAGGCTGTAAAATGGAAGTAATCACCCTCACATTCTGCTTCCTCCACTGGTTCACTGCCTACCCACTCGCCATGGAGGTGTGGCCATTTTAGCATTTGGCCTTTCAACATAAAGGTCAAGTGCCTGTCACTAGCATTTTTTATTTTTTGCTATAATGGGAATATTGACCCCCCCTCTCATTATTATGCTCTTTCCAAGAGTTAAATAAGAAAATTGATACCACTGTCATGTCACTTCTCTGAATATGAAGCTACTTTTAACAACCAACAAACTTAGCATAAAGACTGAAAGTTAGGCCAAAGCCACGGTTCTCAAAGTGTGGCCTGCAGGCCAGTGGCGGTCCCTGGTAATTCGCAAGAATCCTCCGCTGTACATTTAATTCATTCACAGTTTTTATCACGGTCATGAATCATACATGTAGTGTTGAAAAAGAAAGAAAGTTCACTGCCACTGGTTCCATAGAAATCAAGAAGTTAAGCAACAGCCAGGTGCTGCTAAGCAAATTCACTTTATTTTCTCATCTGCAAATGTGAGCACCTCTGAAGGTGCATAAATTCTTCCGTGTGTTAACTCAATGCCACAATATTCCTACTAACAGACCTCCCAGCAAATTAAGTCCAAGGTCAGATCATGCAATACTTGGAGAAAGTGCAAAAAAACGAAGAAATGTTCGTGACAGTAAAATGAGAAAAAAGACTGAACAAGTGTGGCCTGTTTGAAGAGTTGAACAGGAAAAGCCTCTTATCTCTAAAAAAAAAGAACTTGGCTGTGCAGCTTAGGCTTGCAAAGTTACATCTCAACAAATCACAGGACTTCATAAATGTGCCATATCAACAAAAAGACCTCATACCAGCTGTCAGCACAGTGGTGGAGGGGTCATGATTTGGGCTTGTTTTGCAGCCTCAGAGTATCTTGCAGTAATTAAGCTGACCGACCATGAACTCCTCTGTATACCAAAGTATTCTACAGTCAAATGTGAGACATCTGTCCAACAGCTAAATGTTGGCCAAATTATGTCATGTAATAGGATAATGATCCAAAGCACAGCAGCAACCTTACAAAAAAGCGTCCATTAGTCAAAAGGAAGGATGAAACGATCCACAAAGGGTTAAAATCTAACATGTAATATGTTTGCTCCGACTAGCCATACTTGTTCAGTGAAGTATGTGAGGATTGACCCACTTTTGTAGCCAGCCTCAAGTGGCCGTTAGAGGAACTGTAGTTCTGAACAACAGCAAGGAAGCATCTTCTTGGACAAGTAGGCTCCAGCCGTCACTCAGAAATACAAGCATCATCCTCTAAGCAGAGAGATTACAAACAGTAAAGTTTTTTAATCCTCTGTTGCCCTCATTTGTGCTCATTCATGAAAACTTTGAGAAGCCCTGGTCCCTGGATTGTACATTTGGTGGAACTGTAGGTCTCTGTGTCCTAATAATGAGCCCATACTTCATGCCTGTATCTCTACTAATGTTGTCCAATGTAGCCAAAAACAGACGTGTCAGGGTATCAATTCCTTTGTTTAACTTTGAGCAATAAAAAAAAGTGCATTATTGTTGTTTTTATTTATTTTTTTCATCCATTTGATGCTTTGCGAATCTTGTGTTTATCCACAGGCGACATCAAAACTCTTCATACAGTAAATGATGATTTAGGATCTTTGAGAACAGCCGGAAAGATAAGAATAGATGATGTCTTTACATTCAAGCCTCCAGTCTCAAGCTTGTCTTCTTCAAAAAAAACCTAAACAGCTGTTCCCACTGACTTTATGACGTGTTTTAGGCTTATTATAGGCATGCCACACAACTACATACCAGGCTTTATTTGACTGCACAACCTAATGTGAACTCTGCTTTGTGTCCCGGTGCGATAATGTCTTCTCTTGCCCGTCGCCGTCCTCTCAACCAAGCGTGGATTGGTAAGCAAGAAGTCGACCCTGATGAAATATAATTATTTTTCACAATAGTTTGTAATCATGCATGCCTCTAATCCCAGTAATTGCAGTGCTGATGAGATGAATGTCCGTCTTGTCTCCTTTAGCAAGGGCACATGGCTTGGAGAAGTTTTCAAGACAGCGGCCGATTGGCTATTAGCGTGGGCCTGGCTGCGCCACTCTTTGACTTAACTTGATTACGTTGGGGAAGGTGGGGGGTTGGGAGCACACACCGTCGCTTAATTCTGCGGTGGTGTTTGTCTATGTGCATCATCAGAAATAGACAATGATTATATCATGGTCTTGTTTGCGGCTGCAGGCTTAAATTACAAAAACGCCTGCTGGTATTTGCAAGTCAAATGCCGCGGTGGCTTCAAAGCAGCTTGATGCAATCATTTAGCTCGAACTGCTAAACAAAAAAAAGAAAATTAATAAATATTTCATTAGAAGAGAAATCCTGCATCCTTGTGTCAGAGATAAGCTGTTTTCTTTTTTATTGTAGATGTGATTATTTCTTCTTTAAATTCATTATTTTGCTAATCAGACAGTGGGCAAAAGCGATGTTAAAAGCCTGCAGTGTGAATTAATTTTATTAATTTTTTATTTTTGTAAAGCTGAGCAGCATGCTGCAGCAGGTGGTAACCCTCCACACTCTTTGATTTGCAACTAATCGCACCAGGAATGTGTTCTGTTTTGTTTTTTTTGTATTAGCAACACTTCACTTGTCGTGGGACATCATAAGCACGTTGTGATTCCACTTTCTGCCAAAAGTAGCTTCATAAGAACAATTTTCAGATTTGAGCCGGAGAGCTCAAAATTTGATTTGTTAAAAATGCCATCTGTAGTCACTTTGGTAACTCGACCATTTTTACAGTCCCCTAATAACTTCTTTCAGTCTTTACCAACCTGAGCCCCTGCAAGAAGATATCTGTAGGTGATGAGCAACATTTTGTTACCAGCACCGCACCACCAGCTTGTCGTTATTTACCTACTTATTACTTATTTATTAACAGCTAGCCAACAACATACAATAATTTACTTCAGTGGTTAAAAGGATGATGGGAGAAGTAATAAGAGACTTTTCTCGTAAGTGAAGCGTCAGGGTGATGTAGTAAAAATTGTTAATGTGCCTCAGTTAACTGTGTCTAAGCCTGCAGTCACCCACCTGCTGCTAGCCTGGGCTGCAGGACCTTCCGAGAGCAGCCCAGGCTAGCAGCAGGAAGTTGGAAACAAGTGAGGTGGAAAGTAAGATGGCCCACATCTACGTGAAACGCCACGTTCTGCAGGTTTTTGATTGAGAACATCAACTTTTTTAAAGTTGGGGAAAAGTGACATAAGCACTCGACTGGGGAAATACGCAACCATGTTAAACTGCTTAGGCCAGAGCACGACTGTGTGTGCAATGAACTTGCGATCTCGTTGCCTTTGTACTGGGTGCTTCAGAGACAGAGACCACAGTGGAATCGACCGGTGCATGAAGATGGCGATAAAACAGCAATAAGGTGGAGTCGGTCTGCTATCAGTTTTTGACTGAATGGGGTTAAAGTGGCAAATGCATAGAATCTGTTTTCAATAATACAACAACCAAGTGTAGGGAATCAGTGAAACAACGTAAATCTTTTGCTTTCTGCATGGACAGAAATTCATAATAACTACTTTCATTCAGAGTTCACTCAGAACCTCATAGATTTGAAACAGATGTTCCTGCACAAATAGTGACGTAGTTGCTGCAGGACTGCAGTTTAACCGCAAAACGCCATAGGTGCTCGGCAACCTTACTTTTATATAGGAACGTAACCAGCTGGCAGCCAGTTAAGTCGAGTACAATATTGGAAAGTGATGATATTGTAAGAGAGTTTTGCGACTCAGACTGATGGCACCGCAGCAGCAATCTCTCTGCATTTATAAATTAGACAGCAGTTATTTGTAAATCTTTGCCAATCTAAGAGCGATTCCAGTCCAAGTTGGACTGTCACTGTTTGGAGACTGGTTGCATCCCACCAGGCGACCTGTGCAGGTGTTTAGTAAACAAAAAATGTTGCACATTCAAGCCCTGCAGTGTTTACCTGACTGATTGAGTCATAATTGTTGTTACGTGGCAGAAGTTGCCACATATTTTCGTGACATTTACCATGCAGTTTCATTGCTGAAGAACGTAACTGGCTATGTCAAAAAGCTTTCAGGTACAGATGCAGTGTTGCTACAATTTTGCTCAAGAAAAGGCGAGCAGTAGGTTTTTATCCCTATTTTATCAACTGCTTATTTACTAACTATAAAGTACTCAAAGGAGCAGTATAATATTGGATATACTCACATAAAATAGCCTTATTTGTGCTGCAATTACATAATTACTTTTCTATATGTGGTATAGTCACTTGGGTTGTGCAACATTAAAATAATAAACAGCTGGTTTGTTCACCAGAATCTGCAGGTTTTCAGGTTCAGCATGTTGTAGAAACTCCTTTTAGCCAATTAAGAGCAATGATCATCCATCAAGTCATAACTGTTTTCCCATACATGCATTATATTCCATCCGCCACATTGCTTATTATACTGTAAACATGTCTTACAGTAATCTCATTACACAGTCAATCCAAATGCATAATGTATTGAAATGATTGCAAGTCATTATGCATTATGTCCCATGCCACTCTGAGGTGATTATGGTGCGAGCATCATGTCCTCGCAGTGTGCTTATAATGTTTCAAACGCACCTCAAGGAAAGTGTTGCTACGTTTTCTTTTAATTTAACGTCTAACATAGAAAAGCTAGCTGATTCGCATTCATTACGAAGAGCCCGTGTCTCTTTAAAGCCTCGTGCTCTTTGTGTTCGTGCTGATCCATGTGCGTGTCTGTCACATCCAGGCTCGGTTGGCCCAAGTGGCGGCAGAAGCAGAGCTGAAGGTTCCCTTCATCGATGAGCTCCCCTCTCGGCAGGCGCAGCTCGCAGCGCTGACAAACACAGAGGAGTTCGACGTTCTGGTTGTCGGAGGAGGGGCCACGGGGGCAGGATGTGCCTTAGACGCTGTCACACGCAGTAAGCCCGCCATCAGCAGGGTGTCTCTGCTTTCAGGTTTCACTAGGCTTTGGAAGTGTTCTCACTGAATCCTGGTCGAAGGTTTATGATGGTCCTGTACTCTATGCTTCAGTTTTTTAAGAGGTTCTTCTAGATTCTGCAACTGTGCAAAATGGACTGGTTCTCATATCACTTATGTCCTATTCACCGATTTACACACACATCCATAGAAGCACTGCTTTCAACATCTAAATCCACGAGTATTTACTTTACTTACTTTAGGGTTTTCCTTTAGGTGGCAGTACCTGGTACCAGGTACTTTTAAGTTCATTTCAGGTCTAATTATGTACAGAGTACTGGGCTTGTAAAAGTTGGCTGCAATTAAATCCATGTTTATGTTTAGTCATTACTGTGTGGCAGACGTTTATGACGTGGCCCTTACTTATTTAAAAGCCGTCACTCCTACAGGTTTATAGATTCACTGCGAGCTGATGAAGCTCATTTATCGCAGATCAGACTTTGAAGTTAATAGGTCAGAACAACATTTTTCACTTGTATTGATAATAACCGGATTCATCAGAGCGAAGAGCCGTCTGTTTATTTGTTTTTTTCCCTTGAAGTTTTCGGGTGACATATAAGCTAATCGTCTGTAAGGTTTAGGTTTTATATAAGTTTAAGTTTTAGTGTAAGAAGGAAACAAGGCTCTTCTTAATACCGTTATCATTAAGGCGCTGTGTCATTTTCCCCAGACCTTAAGACTGCTCTCGTTGAGAGAAGCGACTTCTCTTCTGGAACGAGCAGCCGAAGCACCAAGCTCATCCACGGTGGAGTCCGCTATCTGCAGAAGGCCATCATGAAGCTGGACTACGAGCAGGTTACTCTGTGCTGCACCTTCGGCTTATTGAGATGCTCCTCTCTCACCATCATCTTTTTGGATTAGACAGACTTTTATTGTCATTTCAGTCTCACTAACAGAGCACATCAGTAGGAAAATATATATATATATATTTTTTATAACAGTACATGATGGTGAAAGAGGCCCTCCATGAGCGAGCCAACCTGCTGGAGATTGCACCTCACCTGTCTGCGCCGTTACCCATCATGCTTCCTGTTTACAAGTAAGATTTAGAACAAGGTTTTTTGGTTAAATATGGGCGTTTATGAGGGGGATTCATCTTCAGTGGGTCTGTGTCATCTTCCCTGGGTAGCAGCTGCTCTGTGAGACTACAGTAGGGGTGTATAAATGCCTGTCGGTTCAACATCTATTACTCTTTTTGTTCTTTGTAGCTATTTGTTGAGCAAACCTAAGTTTTGACAAGGCAGGACAAAACCTGCGTTGTTTAACCAGCTGATAATTTGTTTAATACCCGTCTGAAGGAAAAATAGATTTTTGCATCTTTGTGGTGACGTAAAATTGACCAAAAAACAAGATTTTGTATCCAAATATTTAAGTAGACAGAACTTAAATCGCTGTGTTTGCCTCACAGATGGTGGCAGTTGCCTTACTACTGGGCAGGGATCAAGATGTACGACTTGGTGGCGGGGATCCAGTGCCTGAAGAGCAGCTACGTCCTCAGCAAGACGAAGGCCTTGGAGCTCTTCCCCATGCTGAAGAAGGACAAGTTGGTGGGGGCCATCGTGTACTACGACGGTGAGCTCACGGCTCCGTTATTGTTGGGGTTTTTTACGCCAGCAGAGCTGTTTGTTTGATCCGCGCTGCAATGTGTTTTCAGTTATCCAAACAGCATGCTTTGTTTGCTTATTTGTTACTCATCTCTTTTATTTTGTGTAAACATGAAAAGACAGCTGAGTCAGTCTTGCCCTTTCCCCGCCGTCTTCCTCTCCTGCAGCAAAGATTTACAATAGCGATGGCTTGATGGAAATTTGCGTGAACATGAGGTTTTATAGAGCAGCTCTGTAACCGTTATTTAAACGCCTGACAGCAGCAAACGTGATGACAGGTCTTGAAATCTTTTTCAGAAGCACCCATTGACTTCTGGGGTGTTGAAACATCAACGTGAGCATTCACGAGATGACTAAACAGATAGGAGGGAATGAAAAAATATGTTATTTGGACTGACCTTTTCTGCTTATGAAAAGCAGGATATCTAACCCTCGTAGGCGTCTAAATAGCTCATATTAAATTGTCAAATGCAAAAGCACAGGTGTGATGTATATAACTAAATATAGTATTTCTTTCTTTCTGGTTGTATATTTGCTGAAACAAAACCTACAAAAAGCTTGCAGTAGCTGCAGAACAACATGTTTAAGTTTTCTGTGAATTGAATCTGTTGATGGCTGTCTACACTAGGAGCCGCTGAAAGGCTATTTGAAGTACTCATTTAGTAGTCTTAAGAGCTTGAAAAGAAGGCGACAGGATTGCTTTAACATTTTTCCAAGAGGTTTCTTTAGCTCTAAAGTAAAAGATCTTCAAAACACCCAAAGATGTCCAGAATCAGAATCAGAATCAGAAAGGGTTTATTGCCAGATGTTGAGCAGGTTTACAACATTAGGAAATTGCTGCGGTGCTTCAGTGCAAACATACTGTCATAAAAATATAAAAATAAGAATAAGAATTAAAAGTGCTAGTGCCAGTGCCAGTCACCAACTCTTAAGACTACCATGACCACGATGACTGAGAACCTACACTCACATAATCATGTGCAACTTAACTCTGACCCGACCTGATAAATCTTCTGTATTTTACAAAATTATTCAGACAAAGGTTCTGAAAATACACCTGTTAACATATTCAACACTGACCGTTCATGTACTCTTTGTATTCATGTGAGTAGGAAGAAATTGGCTGGTAGCTTGTAGAAAGAATAAGAGAGGACTAATAGCAATGGCAAAAAGTGAGACTATAGATTATAGATTTTATTTTTGAATTTTTTTGGCCTGGAAGGAGGAGAAGTTGAGTGAGAGCTTTGGGAGTCATCTCATAGAGCCATCAGTGACCCTAACCTGTGGATTTAGTCGTAGCCTCTCGGTTTCTAACATGTTCTGTTGCTTTAAGTTCAGTTTGGTGTCGCTGACTTTTCAATGTTTAGCATTTCTGAAACTTTTACCAGCGTCAAGCTTTAGTTAACAGTTGATATCTTAGCTGTTACCAAGAGTAGAACGTTAAATGATAGCTAGCTAGTACATGTCTATTTGCCACCGAGTGAGCATGAAATCACAAATGGTATGTGAGCCCAGCGGTAATATTTTGGCAAAAAGAGTTTCATGCCCACAAATCTAAAAAACTGCAGCATTTTCAAAACTTTTAGTTTTAGTTTTAGTTTTGCTCGGTTAGTTGTGATCAGAAGTTTATATCCACTCATAATTGACATGAATGTTGTGGAAAACTTTAGGCTTTTATTTATTTATTTGAACTGTTCCATTATCAGGGTGGAATGATTGTACAGCACACATTTTAATGGCTTTAAAAACAAGATTTGGGTGCACATTGAACAACTCATTTAAATATTTTAATAAGTGGTGCAGAAGAGTTTTGACAGCCCTTATTGACCAGTGCTGAGAACAAAGTGAAAGTCTAAAGAACTCAGTGAAGATCTAAGAAGGACAAATGTAGATTTACACCACCTGTGAAAGTCTCTTGAAGTCATTTCTAAACAAACGCAGATTCCAGGCTCATCAGTTCAAACATTTTTACATGAGTACAAACTATTCAGATTTGTCACCACTTTGCCGAGTCCTGTAAGAAGACCCAAACTGCCACCCTCAGATGACAGGAAATCGGTTAGGATGTTAAAGAATAACCCAGAAACCACCAAGGCTCAAGCCTGCCATGAAAAACTGTTGAATGAAAACTCTTGGAAGTGAGTTTTATATCACCATGAACTGAGAGGGTGCTAACCAAGAAAGAAGCCCCTGCTCCAAAATCAACACCTTCAAGCCCAACTGAAATCTGCAGCAGCCCACATGGACAAGCCAAAAAGTTTTATGGTCAGACAAAGCAAATATTGAGCCATTTCACCACAACGACAAGATGTAGGTTTGGAGGAGTAAAGATGAGGCTTTCAAACCTAAGAACAACATACCAGCTGTCAAGCATGGTGGTGGTAACATCATGCTCTGGGCTGTTTTGCTGCCAGTGGTACTGGTACACTGCACAAATTGGTTGGAATAATAAAGAAGGAATTTCTTCAACTTCACCGGGAACCAACAGCTAGATTGTTGAAACTCGGACACAGTTGGGTGGATGTATTTGAACTGCGTGTTTATTTTTGACCTTGTGTTGATTAGAAGAAATCCTAAATAACATCAAGCTTGTGCTTCCAGTTCTTGTTTTAAACAGTTCAATGAAATCCTTAAAAGCCCCAAATTACTATGAGATTGATGCCAGTGTGAGTAAACTACTAAACACAGCAGTAGTAAAAATTAAACGCCTTTAAAATACAATCTGTCTTTCTTCAGTTCATAGACATATTTTTAGCTGTGCTGTTCAAAACCTGTACGAGTACAGACAAAGAAGCAAAAAACAATTTATTCTTTACATAAAAACATACTTTATGCTAAGAATTTAAATCAGGTAAAGTTTACGACCAACTTTCTCTTTTATTCACATTTAAACACAAATAGTGCAAATCTGAAATATACTTCAGGAAACATGTAGGGATGGTATCATTAAGCCAAAGAGCAGATTAGAGAATGCAGGCCTCGGATGCAGCTCTGCCCGAGGCCTTCACATCTCCACTGGTGCCGAACAAAATGTGTTGACAGACTGGTAGGATGCCCCCTCTACCCCCGCGGCGCTAAAGGTTGCGTGTTTGCCTTTTCACCACGAAGGAGAACCAAACATATGCTGAGCGTCCAGCTGAGTGTGAGGAGCCTTGTGCCTCTGGCGTCCTTTCCGTTCCGCCGCCGAAAATAACAACGGCGTATCTGCGGGTGATGTGTTTTCCACTGCTGGCTTCGCTGAGTATGGGCTCGTTGTGTTCACTCACAACAGGCTGTTTTTTTTTTTTTGTTTGTTTTATTTTAATTGGAGAAATGACACCACTTACAGGTTGCTGATGTTTGTCTTTATCATATTTTTACTATGAAATAAAATACGATATCCATTAATATCCGTTTATTTCTTCAGCACAGTAAGGAGCGCTTACCTGAAGTTTTATTTATCCATTTAAAATACTTTTACTCTTAAGTGATCAGAGGTTCCTGCCTGCAGACTGAGAAAATGGAAGAGCGTTTTCCTGGTGCAGAGCAGCATATGTTTGATTTTCACCTCCTCACCATCCTCCCATCATCTGCTCTGAAGGGGTGGGGGCTGGGGGCCAGGGTGATGGGGAGTAGGGGGAGGGGTGGGTCGTCTTTTCTCCAATTATGCCGTCTGGAACAATCACGCCCGTGACATTTCGAAATATGACCTTCTCTCCCGGCGGTGTAGACCGCAGAGCAGCAGCGGCGGCGGCGTCACCGGTCGGAGCGGGTGAGCAGCAGCAGCTATTTCTCCCACTTCCTTGGTTACTGCCGCTGCCACCAGCAACAGCAGACACTCCTTTATTGTCACAGACACACACCAAATGTTGGGCCTAATCCACTTACGCCGAGCTGGCTGGCTGCTGTATTATATATATATGCATTCCTCAAATACTTCCCCTAGGTACAAATTCTCCTATCCATGTGAGAAATCCAGCTAAATGCCTATAAAAAGGCACAAATTACCTCTTCCTTTCATCTTGTTCATGTCCTTCTTTTCTGTCCTGCTTCAGGTCAGCACAATGATGCCCGTATGAACCTGGCCATCGCCCTCAGTGCCGCCCGCTACGGCGCCGCCATCGCAAACTACACCGAGGTGATTCACTTGCTGAAGAAAAAGGACCCACAGAGCGGCAGAGAGAAGGTGTGCGGTGCCCGCTGCAGGGACGTCATCACAGGTGAGGGATGCGGGCGGCGAGATGGCGCTCTAAAGTTTAATTTTTTCCATCCGAAAGTGTCTCTGAGCTCCTAAAGCACAGGTTAGAAAGATCATCCTGACCCTGAAGGTTTAGACTTCCTCCAACACCATAAAAAGAGAAGATGAAATAATCATTTAAAAAGGCCAAGCTGTGTTGTGCCGCTTCAAACTGTTGCATCAGTCTACATGGAGACTGACATTAAAAAAGCTTTTTAAACATTAGGATTAAATATATTTATGAAAAATCCCTGGAAGTGAGGATGGAAAGGGTCAGCTCTATACCTGCTATATACCTGAAGACCACCATGTAACCATAACAACGGCATGTCCATTTAATCTCTTTCTTTTAACTTCTCATTAACACCATAGAGCCAGGGTTAATAACTTAAGTTCACTCTTCTCGCTTTTTGGAAAAACATGTCATATTGAGCTCAAATACGCCCCCTATGGTGGGAGCAGGAAAATCAGAAACCCCCAATTTCACCTTCACTGTGGATTGCTTTTTTTTTCTCCCACCCATTCATCACCTTTCAGGTTTCTTGTGTGACATCATGTGCACATTGATCAATAGTTATCCACCATAGTGAACATTAAAAATGTGCACCAACAACCAGTTGGTGAGTAGTTCCTGGAGGTTTCTGGCAGTTGGTGCAAACACTTGCCATCTGCTCATTAAACGGCAGCCAGAAACAAACAGTTTCCTTTAAAGTAAAATTTGGATCTACACAGCCAACACCTTTCAAAAGGTGCAACTTTTACTTTGAAAGCAAAAGATCTCCATCACTTCCACTAGGAGAGTAGTTGGCAAATGCTTGCAGATAAGTCGATGTCCTCCTAACAATAGTTTCCTGGTGTCCAAGACATTGTATACGTCTTTGCAAGTACCTCTTAAAAGGTTGATTCTGTTCATCTGGACGTGGCGTTTTCAGTGGGAGAAACGTTTCGTCGCTCATCCAAGTGACTTCTTCAGTCTCAGCTGACTGCAGGTTTCCAATCTTATAAACAGTACATTTGCATAATGACTGAAATCAGCCCCCTTGATTGACCATTGGGTTTTGGGTTCATTTCTTTGTTCTTTATTTTGCAGTTTTTCATGACCATTGATCAACAACCACTGATTAAAGTCCATAGATCAATGGCCATGAGTGCCATTCACAGTGGGAGTGGCTGCAATCACAGCATTGTTAGATGGCAAAAGATGTACCCTTAAGGCTCCTCCTCCATTCATAGATGTTCTTTACCTTTTCACGTAAGTGGCCTCTTTGACTGTCCTCAGGCTCAGTCTTTCAGAATTTACTTACCTGGTTGGCTGAGCATGCATCAAGACATATTTGCAAGTAGTGTCACCTTGCCACCTTGCCTGAATATCTAGAACTACAGTGTCACATGTTCAAAATGGCAGACAAGTTGAAGCCAAGCATTCGCATGATTGCAAAAACTGAATTCCACGTCTAATTTGCTTTCGCTTTATTTGCGTGTGGCGTCGGCTCAGGAGGTAGAGCAGGTCATGTCTTCCCCCTGTGCATCCATCGAAGTGTGAGCATGTGAATGTTAGGTTCAAAGCACTCAGACGTAGGAAAAAAACACTTCTGTAAATGTGTGTCAAAGGGTCAGTGACGCTTGTATTAAGAGGCGCTCAAACAGAGGAGAAAAGTGCAACAATTAGAGCCAAATATTTGTGCACTGCAGTCCACAGAGAAGTTAAAATATAAATAAAAAAGTCTCATCGTGTCCAGCTGTAGCGCTTCAGGTCATTAATAACAGTTATATTATAAACTACAAGCCTTACATTAGATTATTAATGAATAAGTTATAGTAATACTTCAAAGCTGATAAAGGAAATTCCCATTATCTTGTTGCTGTTTTTCTTGTTTCTGCCTCTGATGTTTTCTGCAGCTATATCTACAGCTTCCTTTTATTTGAGTTATGTATTGTTCTTAATGACCATGAAGGCTTCTAAAAGGATTTTTTTTGGGTAAATGCATTATTGTAAATTAATTAGAAATGAATGTGTATAGCAAATAATATATACACAGGCAGGACGGTGCTGCAGTGGTGTGAAATAAAAAAGGAAAAACTCAATTTAATTGTGATAAGAAGCTGCTGTTTGCATTAAGAAGCCAGTGAACGGTTCCTCCCACATTATTGTTTGCTTATTTTTTGTATTTGATGTCTTTCTTAATCGAATCTGTCAACGTCTCGCTCGTCTTCACAGGGCAGGAATTTGACGTGAGGGCCAAGTGTGTGATCAACGCCACCGGACCGTTCACAGACGCTCTGAGGAAGATGGACAACCAGGAGGCCTCGAACATCTGCCAGCCCAGTGCTGGAGTTCACATCGTCATCCCCGGATACTACAGGTCTGACATAATAATGCCAAAAACAACCAAAGCTGTTCCTGTTGTTTTCTTTTTCTCTTCCATTAACATGTATAGTAGTTCCTGTGTTTTCTCATTCCTGTGTGTAAATACTAAGCTAGCCAAACTATTATCTGACCTCCGCCTACATACATAGGACAATCTTCTCCGGTTAAGATACAGCCGAGTGGCAGAGTGGTTTTGTTGAAGTCGGAGGTTTTAAAGTTCAGCTAAGCTTATTGAGTGAAACCCGAGGGAGCGCGAGCCCTTTGAACAGAAATGCCAACCACCTAATTTTCTTCCTCCTGCTCACTTATTCTCATCTTCCTCCTGCTGCTATCTACCCCCCACCCACATACTCCCGTGCCTCCTCTACCTCTTCCATATCTGTGTTCATTTGTCTCCTGCTCAGGTTGGCCCTCATCTCCTCATTTTTAGTGCCACCATTCCTTCTTTTCCTCCTGTTTTCCTCAATTTTTTTGCGCCACTCTCCTTTTTTATTTCAATAAACCGCACAGACTCCTGCTACTTCTATTACGCGTGGTATATTTAATAATAAGAAATCCTCCTTTTTTCCCTTCTCCTTGGCACAGTCCTGACAACATGGGTCTCCTCGATCCAGCCACCAGCGATGGTCGTGTCATCTTCTTCCTGCCGTGGGAGAACATGACCATCGCCGGAACAACCGACACCCCCACTAGTGTGACAGCCCACCCAATCCCAGGGGAGGACGACATCAACTTCATCCTGAGGGAGGTCCGCAATTATCTCAGCCCTGATGTAGAAGGTACAGGAGCGCTTTGTGATGAACTTTTGAGTAGCCTGCTTTTTATTTTTTACCAAGTGTCTGCTTCACATGGAGCCGCATGCTTATGTAGTGACTGAATCTGCAGTTTTAAAGGTTTTTTTAAATTACTGACTCACAGGTTTGGGCATTCAGTGATGCATTGGGGAAGGGTAGGTAATCGTAATCTCATCTTTTTGGGTAGAGCAGCGAGTTTCTAGTCAGAAAGATTGCTCTTAAGGGTCTTAAATCAAATCTTGCTGTGCTTGGAGTCCCTCAGGGATTCATTCTTGGCCCACAGTTGAATATAGAGTTGTTAGCTCTATATTCTCCTCTTTGGCTCCTTCTTTAATAAACATGACATGGTGTGACATTTTTGTGTCTGCAGTGCGTCGAGGAGACGTGTTGGCAGCGTGGAGCGGCATACGTCCCCTAGTGACGGACCCCAGCTCCAAAGACACCCAGTCCATCTGCAGGAACCACATCGTCAGCATCAGTGACAGCGGACTGGTCACAATCGCTGGTGAGCTGGCCTTCATCTGTTTGATCATCTTCAATGAGAGGTACCTGTGATGGATTTTAAAACACAGCTTTGGTGTTCAGGTGGGAAATGGACCACCTACAGATCTATGGCTGAAGAGACCCTGGACGCAACAATTAAGGCCCACCGCCTCTCAGCTGACTCCTGCAAGACTGTTGGTCTGATGCTGGAGGGAGCCAAGGGGTGGACGCCGACCCTTTACATCCGCCTGGTGCAGGACTACGGCCTGGAGAAAGAGGTCAGATGTTACGTTACTGCAGCTGGTCATTAAAGCCTAATACTGTACTGTTTGCTATTAAAGCTCAGCAGGTTTTTAAGCACAGCTGCTGATCCATGGCTCTTTTCCTTTCATTTCCTCTGCTTCTGCTTTCCTTCTGTTACCGAGTCGCTTCCAGCAGCCTAAAGCAGTCCTACTCGGCAGGTTTGATACTTTATACATGTTAGCCTTAATTTCTCAAACAGTGGCCTTTTCTTACATTAACCCCAAAGCATACTAGGCCTTTATTTAAAGTTTCCTTCTCTTGTACATTTTATCAGACTTGCCAAAGAAGTGTGTCGTTGTGGACTGGAGAGTTGAGTTTCTTATGATTTTATGCTTTATGTGCAGTTTTGTTTCTTCTTTTAGAAAACTTATGATCCAAGCTGCAAAGAACTGATAAATAAGCCCCATAATTTACCACCACATCTTCAAATCTCTTCTTATGCTACATCTGTTTATTGTGAGGACAACAGTGGGACTAATATAGACCATCTTATCTTATCTTAGCTTGCATTTGAGCATCAGTCTAAACCTTGAAAATGTTAAATTGATATATAGGTGCCTTTTGTCCTTTACAATTATAGCTGGTTCATCGATGAAGCTCTACTTCTGATTGTTGTCAAAATGCAACACTCTCTGATGTTTTCATATTAACAGCTTTCATTTAAAAGGCTGAAAGACTTTTATCTGAAAAGTTTGGTAAAATGGCAAAGTCAAACTTGTGAAGCTGTACTGGTGGAAGAGGAAGAACTAGAGGTCAGGGAAACATTCACCAGTACACATGAGCTCACTAATTAGTGAGCTCATGTGTACTGTAGCCTCAGTTTCCTGTTTGTAGTTGACAGACGTGTCACCCGTTCTGCTGCTGATGAGACGCATCAGCAGCAGAAGACCACACTCCTCTGCATAGCTTGGTTGTAACAAGTGGTTATTTGCGTTACTGTTGTCTTCCTATCAGCTCGAAGCGGGCTGAGCATTCTCCTCTGACCTCTAGCATCGTTTTCACCCAGATTACTGAAGCTCACAGACTATTTTCTCTTTTTCAGATTGTTCTAGAACTCTAGAGATGGTCGTGTGGGGAAACTCCCAGCATATCAGCAGCTTCTGAAATACACAGTCCATCAACCCTGCATTGTTTAAAGTTGCTTAAATCACCGTCTTCTTCCTCTTTCTGATGCTTTTTGAACGTAGCTCATCATCTTGATAATGTCCAGATTCCTAAATACACTCAGTTGCCTCCATGTAATTGGCAGACTGGATGTTTGTGTTAATGAGCAGTTAAAAAAGTATACCTAATGAAGTGGCTGGTGAGTGTACAAATAAGTGTCTGACTTTAATGTGAAAATGACGGTTTATATTTAAAGCCACATCTTCCAGGTTTGTTTTCAGACCAATCAATGAGATTACTGCTTCATTAAGAAAAGTTTGGGAGTGCGTAGCTACTGTACACACTGGCTGACACAGCCGTGTACAAACCGAGCTGTAACCGCAGCTCTCGCAGACACATTCGGTGTCTTCTCCACCAGATGCTGACATTAAAGCTGCTGCTGTAACAAAGCTGACATTTCCACTACACAAAAGACTGGACACGCGTTAGAACGCACTGTGTGCTGTCCAATTTACCAGTGGCATTAAGGAAAGGCACATCGACTCACATCAGCTTTGCAGCGTCTTTCTGATAATTAGCCTGCTCGTTTTCATTAAGCGCAGTAGAACATAGTTTCATAAGGAAAAAGGAGTCCTGCGCTGAGTGCCTGCAGTAAACGTACTGCTCATTAGGGGCCTCAGCTCTGGTTGTTCTGGTTGTTCTCTGAAATATTCCTAAAAGGTCACTGTTGGTATTTGGACAGCGTTTGCCCTTTCACACGATCAGCAGGCCAACGATCTGAATAGCAAATAACCTGTTGTGTTCTGTAAACATGTGACACCTCATTGACAAAGCGGCGTTATCGTTTGTCGTTTAACTCAGAAGAGGTGAAATCGATCATCTGAATACCAGCAGCTGCAAGTTTACATAATTTAAACTGTAGTGAAAGGACTTAAACATGCGTTTAAAAGCAGAAGCTTTTTATTGTTTAACTCTTTAATTGTGTGTAACGTCTGTTAAAATCAGTCTTCAGTTTAAAAGTGGAATATTTGGTTGATGGACAGTGCTGAGTCTGTTAATATCAGGGTGTTTTTCTAATTTTGTATTAAAACTATGTTTTTTGGGCTGTTGGTTAAACACAACAGACAATTTAACAGTTAATCTAACAGTTATTTTCTGACCTTTTTTATAAACATGCTGTTAAAGAGGACAGAAAACTAAATAATTCTAAATAAATGAATCAATAAATTAAGTAAATACAAACATTTATTTGGGGAGGGAATTGAAAAATAATTTCTATACATACTATTCAAATTTTAATTAAGGCTACAGCTGTTTTTCTACATTTGATATTTTTAATTTTTATTCTACATTTTCTATATTTTTTGTATTTCACAATTCATGTATTTATTTATGTATTTATGCTCAGTTTTACTACAGTTATTTAGTTTAGTTTTAGTTTACAACATTATTTTATAGATAAATTTAATGTATTTAATCTATATAATGTATTTATTTAGTGTATTCACTCAGTTTTTATATTATGTTTTTAGTTCTGCAAATCAATTTACATAGTTTTACATTAATCTAATTAATTCTCTATTTTGCATCATATATACTTCAACATTTACTTAATGATTTATTTATTTTTACATTTATCTTCATTTATACTCGGTCATTATTTGAAAGTTATTTGGGTAGTAGATATTAATTCATTAATTAATTGTTCTGTTTTTGCATTTGTATATTATTTCTCCACATGAATTTATGTAGCTCTCTAATTATTTCTGTATTTTAACTTGGATTTATTTCTCTGTCTACATTCAAACATTCATTTTGTACATTTATTTTTAAATGTATCTATTTACTTATTCAGACTTGTGCCATTATTGCTCATTATTTCACTGGCAGCTGGGAAAAACTAACCAAGAGCAAATAGATTTTTAGAATAATGGACTTATATGTTGCAGGAGGGATCACAGGAATTATACATTCACACACTGACTGATTAATACATTTGTAAACAGAGTTTAAGAGGTGTCTGTCTTTTTTTTCTCATGTAGGAAATGACTTGTAATATTTCTACTGATGCTGCTTATGTATTTCTCAGATCAGCTAATGACTTTATATAAAAGCTCCTATGACAAGGATGGTAAAAACGTTTAGATATAAAAAGCAGTTTAGTGTAAATGATATATTTAGGAAAATCAAATTATAGACCATAAAGAGACTTTGTTCTAGCAGATGTAAGAAAAAAACAAAACAAAACAAAAAAAGTTCCTAATGAGTGAACAATGCATTCATTTTAATAAAAGCTTTATCAGTGAATAACAGGTGGGTCACATGTTTCGATGTAACTAAACAGTCAAACTTCTAATAAGTGCTTCTGATTATCCAATAATTTAATACTGTTATTAACACAGTTTAAATTGTGTGTTTGTGGGTTGACTACACAAATTCAGGCAGTCTTTTTGCTGTAGTTTCACCTTACTGTGTATGCATGTCCCTGTAATTTATGACCTTTGATAATTGTTTGAGTATTTGAGTAATGGTGTTTTATCACAGTCCTGGTGATTTTGCTTTGGTATAAATTCCTAAACATGTTTTCAGGGCAGAAAACCTCTGATTAGCATTATTATTAACATAAATTAATATAAAATCGATGTATTTAAGTAAGTATTTATATCTTTCTCTGGCACAGGTCGCTCAACACCTGGTCTCCACGTATGGGGGAAGGGCATTCGACGTTGCCAAAATGGCTCAGGTCACCGGGCAGAGATGGCCGATCGTCGGGAAAAGATTGGTGTCTGAATTCCCGTACATCGAGAGCGAGGTAAAGTGAGACTGTTGTGTAAACGGTTAAAGTTCCAGCTGTGTGTCTGAAGAGTGTCTGAGAGCTTCTCGTCTTTTTCAGGTGCTATATGCGATTAAGGAGTACGCCTGCACCGCCATCGATGTCATCGCCCGGCGAACTCGCCTGGGCTTCCTGAATGTGCAGGCGGCTGATGAGGCGCTCCCACGTATCGTCCAGATCATGGGCAAAGAACTGGACTGGAGTCAGGAGAAGAGGACGGTACGGCTTTACAACACTTGATGTTTTTAACCCTTTAACATTCACCAGGTCACCGTTTGGTATGGTTAGATTTACAGAATCTCTGTTGTCCACATAGAGAGGCTTATTAAAAAAATATGCACGGCAATATTTCTGTGAAGGTTCTCAGTCCTCCAGGTCATCGTAGTCAAAGGAGCTTGCAAAGAAAAGCGTCTGGACTTCTTTAAGTTGCTTGAAGACGTTTCACCTCTCATCCGAGAAGCTTCTTGGATAAGAATGTCTTCACAGACATAAATAAAAGGAAATATAAGGCCCACATCTTCTACTGAAAGTGTGCTTATGGTTAAAACATAACCTAACTCTATTTCTAAAACTGTCACCAGCATCCTGAGGTGCATGTCTGCAGGTTAAAAGGATGTGCACTGATGGGATTACACTTGTTTTATTCCCCTGGCTTCTGCATAAAGCTTTAATCCCTGGTGGGTTTCTCAAGTCGGGGCAGGGATTCGTTTTTGATCAGAGTACAATGGAAATGTCCACACCCTTTGCTCTTTCATAGAGGAGGCTCTGTGCATGCATGAAAGTTGAGCTATTTTAGGCCTTTATTGTTAACCAGCAGAAGTAGTGGGAGAATAGCTCATAAACAAGTCGGTTAATGCACCAAACAATCTGGTTTCTGGTTTTCCTTGTGTAAAAGCTTTCAGTTACATTGTTGTGAAAAAGTGTCTGCTTTCTTCATGGTTTTTTGTTTGTTTGTGTTTTTTTGCATATTTGTCACACTGAAATGTTTCAGATCATCAAACAAAATTTAATGTTAGGCAAAGATAACCAGAGTAAATACAAAAATGCAGTTTTTAAATGAAGATTTCATTTATTAAGGGAGAAACCCTATCCAAACTCACCTGGGCCTGTGTGAAGAAGTACATCATGAATTAACTGTATTAACCACATTTTTTGGGACCCTGACTTCAGTTTCTTCAGCTACACTAAGGCCTGATTACTGCCAGACGTGTTGAATCAAGAAATCACTTAAATAGAAAATGTGTGACAAAGTGAAGCTAAAAGATCTCAAACACCAACACAGCACATCACGATCTAAAGGAGCAGCTGAGAAACAAAGTCAGTGACATCTATCAGTCTGGAAAAGGTTACAAAGCCATTTCTGAGGCTCAGGAACTTCAGTGAACCACAGTGAGAGACATTATCCACAATTGAAGGAAACTTGGAACAGTGGTGAAGCTTCCCAGGAGTGACCAGCCAACCAAAATTACTCCAAGAACTTCGATGACTCATCCAAGAGGCCGCAAAAGAACATCTAACTCACTTGTCTCAGTTAAGGTCAAAGTTCATGATTCAACAATAAGAAAGAGACTGGGCAAAAACGGCGTCCATGGGAGAGTTCAAGGAGAAAACCACTGCTGACCAAAAAGATCACAAAGGCTCGTCTCACATTTACCAAAAACATCTTGATGATCCCTTTTTTTAATTACAGTTTTTCATGGAATAAATGTAAAAGCTGCAGTTTGTATTTACTCAGACTTACTAACTTCTAGTATTACATTTGTTTGATTTGATTGATCAAGAAGGTGGAAGATACTTTTTCACAGTACTGCAGCTCCAATGATCAGTTTTCCCAAAAAAAAACAACCTGTAACATCACCCCAAAATTTGTTATTGGTAATTCTTTGTCTGTGATTGAGAGATTTTAATCAGCGTAGTCCTGGAGTTAGAAAACACAGATTAGAAAACACAGATTAGAAAACACAGATTAGAGAGTCTCACTTGTAGGATGGGCGGAAGTTGTGCAGCCATAATAAATAATTTCTCCTCACTGTCACTGTCATGTGACAGCGACAGACTTTCTTTAGATTTGATGTGGTGGTCAGACACAAAGAGACTTTTGAAGATGTTATTTTGAGTTTTGGAAAACCAGATGTTTTCCAGAGTTTTGAGGTTTGTTTAGAGCTAAAAGATCTGATGAATCAGGTAAACTAACATCGAGCTGTGCATTTTGAGACAGCAGCTTGTATGAGTGACATGTAACAAGCTGGAGAAAAAGAAACATTTTAGCCGTTGACACACATTGTAGTGACCTCATTAGACATTAGATGCCTCATTTAATGTTATAACCTGAGTTACAGAGGGTGTATGTGTGAATCTGTTTGTTCTGATTAAGGAGAAAATGACTCTGCTGATTAGTGTGGGCTCACTTTTTTTTCTCTTTAAATCCAGGAGGAACTTGAGGCAGCGAGGAAGTTCCTGTACCATGAGATGGGCTACAGGTCTCGCTCTGAGCAAATAACCAAGACGTCTGAGATTAACCTGGACAACCATGAAGTAGCCAGGTAGTGCTTTTGAAAACGTCAGATAGTTCATTTAAGTTTCCTGATTGATTTATGCATTTTTTTTTCTTTCTTAATCATGTTCCATATCAGTTATAGACTACTCAAAAAATTAAAGGGACACTTTAATGAGAGTATACCATCCAGTCAGGTAAATCTCTGGGATGTTGTTCTGGTCATTTAAGTGTCAGAGGGGCTTGTTAATGAGTTTCAGTTGCTTTGGTGTTAATGAAATGAACAACAAGTCCAGTAGACGTGTGACAATGAGACAAACCCCAACAAAGGAATGATTTGCGGCTGGAGGGGACACATTTTTCCCTCTTCACTTTTTCTGTTTTTTACTAGTTTTGCATTTGGCCAGTCTCTGTGTCACTACTGCTAGCATGAGACGATGCCTGACCCTACAGAGGTTGCACAGGTAGTCCAACTCCTCCAGGATGGCACATCAATACGTGCCATTGTCAGAAGGTTTGTTGTGTCTCAGGAACACACAGGCAGTTACTGTAGGGGAGCTGGACAGGGCCATAGAAGGTCCTTAATCCATCAGCAGGACCGATATCTGCTCCTTTACGCTAGGAGGAACAGGATGAGCACTGTGAGAGCTACAAAATGACTTCCATTAGGTCACTAGTTTAAATGTTGCTGACCAAACAATCACAAACAGACTACATGAGGGTGACCTGAGGGCCTGCTGTCCTCTGGTGGGCTCAGTGCTCACTGCCTGGCACTGTGGAGACTGATTGGCATTTGCCAAGGAATACCAGAATTGGCAGGTCCACCACAGGCACCCTGAGCTTTTCACAGATGAGAGCAGGTTCACCCTGAACTCGTGACAGATGTGAAAGTGTCTGGAAAAGCCGTGGAGAAGGTTGTGCTGTCTGTAGCATCGTTTAGCATGACCGGTTTGGTGATTGGTGATTGGTCAGGGGAGACATGTCCATGGAGGGGCACACAGACTCTGTGGTTCTTACTGTGGGGCACAGAGCAAATTTCAACTACAGGATTTCCTGCAAGTATTTAAATAATCTTAAAATATTATTTTTATAGTAATTTATGACCCTGATCATATTTAAGTTCGCTCTCATATTTTTACTATAGGGGGAATATTTCTCCCCACTGTAACTTTGGTCAGTCTGTCTCTACAACTCCTCACATTTTTTTTTGTTCGACTTGCTGGCTCTGATTATTACACAGCTAATAGACCCAGAACCAGATTCAGAGATTCTGGAGCAGACAGTCAGGCTCTGGAAAAACCTGCTGCTTTCAGGGATAAAGGACCATGTTTGTGGCTCAGTTACCCAAATACTGTCTCTGGTACTGATCTCTGGTTGGATGAAGAGTTGGCAACAGTTTCAGGCAATGCCCTTTTAAACTCTTTGAAGGATCTGGTAGAGCTGTGATACCAAAACTCCTCTATTTTTAAAAGTAATATGAAAACATCTTTGATTACCTGTCATAGATATATGACAGGTAATGATGACCAAGTATAAATAAAAAAGTATAAGTAGGTCATAAATGGTGGGTGAAAGGAGGAAAGTCAGGCCTTTTTTTATCCCGTTTGGGGAAAATACTTATTTATTTCAGTGCAGATGGTAGTAGTTACAACTTACTAACTGTTGCTGTTGCACCTCAAAGGCATTTCCAAACCAGCGAGTAATTAGAAGGTCAACACGCTTTTGAGGAAAGCATAACAGCCTCTAACAGCCACTGCTCGCTAGGGAAAAATGTTTATTCCCAAAAACCAACCAGGGAACGAAAGCTAGAATTTAAGTAGTGGTTACTGGAGGCCATGTGGGTTTTTTGGGTCGTGGTTCCAGTGTTGGTCCTGGGCCAATGCTGGTTATGGTGTTGTATGCGCAACATCAACATGACGGTATTTGATCCACTGCTGTTGTTGTTGTCTGTTAATATCGCTGCTGTAAACCGGCTGTTACTGCTCGTGTGTCTGACAGGTACAAGAAGCGTTTCCATAAGTTTGACAAAGAGAGCAAAGGATTCATCACCACTGTTGACGTCCAGCGAGTTTTACAGGTGAGTTTTTTTTCTCTCAGTCTTCACATATTTGTTACCCGCAGCTGCATGTCATTGATCCCGAGTGCTGTGTTTCTCCTTCCCTGCAGAGCATCAATGTGCACATTGATGAAAACGCGCTCCATGAAATCCTTAATGAGGTGGACCTCAACAAGAACGGACAAGTCGAAATTGATGAATTCCTGCAGGTAGGCACTAAGTACAGAGATGATCAGCAGCGCTTAATTTTAAGTGCCTTCATTTAGCATCTGTAAGCACAAGACAGACATCAGTTATCTGTGATCTGTTAATGGAGCAGCTGTGCACAATAAATGCTTAAGCTAGCTTTGAGCTACGTGCTCTGAGTGGCCACTTTGTTAGGTACAGCTGTCCAATCAGCCAATCACCTTTTAACAACTCAAAGGATTTGGGCATATAGACGTGCTTCATGCCTAAATGCATGCAAGGTATGCTCTTCTGCATACCTTGGTTGCAGTCAAGGTGTGCAGATGAGCAACTCCGAATGGACAGCATGTCACTTCATTATATTAGCCAGTTATCAGATTTCAGTCCAGCAGAGCAGCTTTAGGATGCGGTGTAATGGAAGATTCTCATTTGCAAATCTGCAGTAACTGTGTGGTGCTATTATGTCAACATGGACTAAAATCTCGGAGGAATGTTTCCAGCAACTTCTTGAATCTGCACCATGAAGAATTAAGCCAAAAGCGAGTTCGACCCAGTACTAGCAAGGTGTACCTAATGGAATGGCGGGTGATGTTACATAGAAACACGTCTTAAAGGTTTAGTTACAGCTTACAAATCCAAAATGCGGTGGTGGACTGGATTTTGTTTTGTTTTTTCTAGATTTTAGCAGGCAGTGAATAAAAAAAGTGTCTGGCTGTAATAATGCAGATTTATTTGTTTTCATTTGCAAAAATAAAAAATGCAGATTCATGGAAAAACTGAAAAATATTTGGATCGCAGATTTCAGCTACATGATTTCCTGCATGTAGCTGAACATTTAAATAATCTTTAAATAATCTTAAAATATTATTGTATTCATATTTTAAACCTTTACAGGAAAATCAAAAATACCAGAACAAATTTTTAAAAAAGGCAAATAAGAATGATTTTCTTTATGCGCACATGCACAGTATGCAGTGTGGTGTGTGTCTTATAAGAGGGAGCATTAATGCCCAACACCTCTGTGAGTGTGCCTGCCCTTCTCAAACCAGCAGAGCAAACATGACTGAGGACGCAAAGGCTGGATAATGGAAGCCCTCAGGAGCGTGATCTGTCACACACGGATTCAGCCTTTTTCTTTTTTGTTTTTTTTTTGTGGGAAATTGAGCCTGGAATTAACATGAATTCAGCCTGTAAGTGTACAAATCCAGTTTTTCTAATAGTAAGGTCACCAAAAGTCAAAGGTTCAGTTCCTCCTCTCTTGCCTGTCATTTTCAGTATTTTTACCCTGATAAAAGCAGCATATTCCTCCTCATACATGCAGGAGAGCTGGAACTTAAATTATCCTGTCGTTAAGAGAGAGAGAGAGAGAAAAAAAGAAAGACCTGTGTCCACCTGACAGGTGAGTAAACTTCCGCTGCTGCAAGCCGAGAGTGTGAAGTCTAAAGCAGCGGCAGGTCAGGCCGAATGAAGGTAATTAGAGAGGAGAGGCTCTGTCAGCGACTCGTGTAATGAGGCCTGAGGAGTGTCCGGGGAGCCCACACGTCCGTCTGTCGCTAAATTACTTTCTCACTCGAGTCCAGAGAAGAGCCGTTACAGAGGACTACCTTTGTTAGCGACCTATCTCTGCTGCAAGCGAGCCGATGTTCGGACAATAGAGAAGCTAAAAGTGAAAAGAGCTTCTGTCTCCTTTGTGATGACATCTGTATCTGTGCGTTTGTTTCTGCTCGCCTGATTCGCCATGTGAACAACAAACACAAAGTAGTGTGGAGGATATTGATCTTTTAACCCTCACACAAAACCTAACCCAGTTCTCCGGTTAACGAAAATTATGGCTGGAGGTGGGAAATGAACTAAAAAGGTCCAAGAAGTGTTAAAGCTGAGCCAGGTGACTTTATCTGTGGTGGATAAGGAACAGGGGCAGCAGCCGTGTGTTCTTCTGCTGCTGTAGAGATGCTCTTCTGCGTACTTTGGTTCTAACAAATGCTTATCTGAGTTAATGTTGCCTTCCTGCCAGCTCCCAGCAGTCCAGTCATTCTCCTCTGACCTCAGGGTTCAACAAGGTGTTTTCACCTAGAGAGCTGCTGCTCACTGGATGTTTTCTCTTTTTCACAGCAATTCTCTATAAAAAACAAACAAACTAGAACTGCGTGAGTGGGAAATCCCAGCAGATCAGCAGCTTCTGAAATACCAATAACCATGCCACATTTAAAGTTACTTAAATCCTCTTTTTTTTTCTCCATTCTGTTGCACAGTTTGAAGTTCAGGAGGCCACCTTGACAATGTTTACATGCCTAAATGCACAGAGTTAGTGCCATGTGATCGGGTGATTAGATATATTTTGTTAATGAGCAGTTAAACAGGTTTACCTGATGAAGTTTTCATAGATAAAGCTGCTTAGCAGTACATGAAGTCCTTAAAATAAGGGCGTCTTTGACCTGAACCAATTTAATAGAATTAATATAAGGAGTTTAAATATTTGTGTTTCGTGTCTAAATTTTTAGAAAAGAAAATTTAGTGACAGCACTTTCTTAGCGCGTCATCTTAACTATTAAAACAATACTTTGCACTCGATTTGTTGACACTAAGATTGAGAAGAATATATATATATATAATCATGTCAGAGAACATTAAATTCGCTGCTTGTTTCCTGCCGTTGGAGAAGATTACATGACCTCATTTTCACATTAAAACAGTCGCACCTTGCTCAGCTTTAACACATGAAAACTAAAAATGGTTTCATCGTCTGCCTCTCAAACTCAGGGATGTGAGCTCTAAAGCCTTTCACTGCCAGGCAGGCGGTTTCCTCCTCGTCCTGCAGATAATTATTTCTGCCCGAGGAAAGCGGCCCGCCTCGCTTTGACAGGTTAACCTTTCCCGCCGTTGTCCTACACGCCACGTACTCTGTTCTCTCCTGTTCCCTCCGCAGCTGATGAGCGCCGTGAAGAAGGGACACGTGTCGGACAGCCGCCTGGCCATTCTGATGAAAACTGCAGAGGAGACTCTGGATCAGAGGGAACCGGTGTCGGTGGACCGAAGCGGGGGCGGAGTCTGAGTTGGATGCCAAAACAAAAAACCAAAAAAAACCCCAACCTTTAAAGGTGGTGATGACACAAAAAAAAAAGATGCAAATGGAGCTATTTGAATGACAATATTGCAATCAAGCATGCAGCCGGATGAATTTGGACAAATCAAGCACTCCTGTGTGTTTTGGGTGAAACGGTATCTAATGATTGAGGCTGAGATGTGTCTGTTTATTTCATCTGTTATGTCCAAAGTCTTAACATCTGGTGCCTCAGACCACACACACAACATTTTATACTGTCTTTTTACGCAGCACTTTTAATACTTTGACGTTCTCTTTGTCCAGAACTCCTTGATTGACGCTGATTATTGTGTAAATACCATCTTCAGGTGGCTTTGCATCACGCAACACAATTTACAGATAAATGTGAAGTTTCCTAGAAAAAGAAGAAAGAAAAAAAAAAAGCAATTTGGTTCCAAGTATTGAAAAAAAAGCACTTCATTTACGTTTCTCAAAAGTAATCACTCTTTTATTACGTGAAAAAAGGTTTTAGCAGCTGCTTGAGGAAGATGCTTTCACCTTTTCAGGACGCCCGTTCTAGCTGTTGTTTAGTCACCGTACGTTAGCTGTATCAGTCTACTCGTATATGACTAAATGGTTGACAGGATGCAGGCAGCAGAATTAAAAAGAAAAGAGAACTTGAATGTGCCACTTCAGCCAGAAGAGGCGAATATGCGAGGCTGAAGATGAAGAAAGCGGGTATTTGGTAATTGTAGTGGCAATTTAAACCAGTTTTGCTACCGAGGCGTTGCCAGAGACGTTTAATTGGTGAGGTCTTGATTGTCCGTTTCTAAAGTTATAGTTCCGCTGGGGCAAAATGTCCGCATGAATCAAATACAATCAAACAACATCCATTTGTGTATCCAATATATATCCATTAAATGTAGAGCGGGAAGAATCGATATATTGTCGTATCACAGCATTTTGTATGCTGATGTTGTATCGATACAGGGAGACCAAACATCTGTACTTTATTAGAAAATTAAACTACAACCAATATGTGATTTTCATTTATTTTAACAGTTAATATATTACGAGAAAAACAGACTGATAGCAAATTGACTCTGTCTTACAGAAATATTTATAGCAGATTTTAATGACAACTGTATCTTATTGTTCAAAGCATACTGAGATTGACAGATATTGAGGACATAATTAGTGATAGTTTGTCACTGCTGTAATTAATTTAGTTTTATTTATTAGTTTTCATTTAGTTTTAAATAGCGCAAAATCACAAGGACGGTATCTTATACAGTAAACACTCTATAATCCATCTAATAATCCAGTCACCAATCAAACGACCCCCTATGAGTAAGCACTTGGTGACAGTGGAAAGGAAAAAAAAAATATAGTGTTTAAATGGAGCCGCTCTTTTTTTCAAAAAAGAGAACGTTTTTATTTTATTTAGCAACAAATTTCCTTTTTAAAAAAAAAAAATTTCTTCAAGGAAACTTCCTGGTAGGAAGTGTTGGACCTTTAGACAAAACCTCAGTGATAGTTTCTGCGTGTCCTCTCTGATCTGTTAAAAGCACAAGTCAGGTGACGCTCAGCATATTTAAAGTATTTCTTCAGCCAGGTTTTTGGTTTTTTTTCCTCTCAGATGAGTTATTTTTAGGCTCATCTGGGATCTGCTGTGTTTTCCATCTATTGCACTACTGAGGTTTACATGACGAGGTTTCCATCTTCAGCGCAACTGTTTGAGGACGCTGTCACTCTGATCTCCTCGTGTATATTTTTTATAATTATTTATTCTTTTTTTTATCCGTGTCATTCTGCTCTTTGCTCTTATAAAAACAGGATTTCACAGGAACTATGAGTTATTTTTACTGGCTATAAGGTTGAAGTTTGTTTTGTTTCTGTGCTTGAGGTCGAGAGCAAAGACCTGAATTAACGCTGTATTAACGCACATCCACCAAACTGTTGTGTAATCCTGCATGCAAGCTGATGATTTTTTAATCATGTATCTGACGGGAATGAGATGTTTTTAAGTGTGGCATGCTTCGTGTGCAGACTTTGTCTGAGTGCAGTTGAAAGACAGTTCACTGTATGAATGTATGATGTGCCTTGTTCTGCCTATAACATGACACTCAGTCTTCTTTTTCACAAAGCTACATGAGTTAAACATTAACAGGAAAACATGTTGAGAATGTAAAGACATTTATAAAACATTTATTACGTGAAAAAGTCGATTGTATGCCTGGTTTGTTCGAAATAGAGACTTATTGACGGAAGTTGAAGGGTTATTATTAGTTATGGATAAGGGTATTTTCTTTATGGAAGCCGATTACTTCACGTTTTAGTATAAAGATTTGTACTTTGATTGGGTTTTTTTGTTTTGTTTTGTTTTTTTGGGGGGGGGATTTTCTGTATCCCGTTGAAGGATTGTTTGGCTGAAATGACTCCGCAGCACTGTCTTTCTGCATCTTAAGTCAGGATCTTTGTAGCTAAAGATAAAATTATTAGCTGTTTGATGAACTTTTAAGGTTTCACAACACAAAACCTTTAAAATGTTGAGTGTTTATTTTCCTTATTGGTGCATGTAGATGTGAAAATGAATGTTTGGCAGAAATGGAGAAGAGGACTCTGGCACAACTTAATACTTCCAAGGTGTCCCAATGAGAACATGAAGTCTGAAGAGGTTAAAGATCCAGCAACAGTTGTAGGATTAAGAGCAGCTTTGTTTCAGCCTTTGGCCTGTACCAGGCCAGTGAAGTCCAACAGTTTTCCTTCATATGAAAACTGTTCTTGGAGCTGTAACCTCCAGTTTTCACTGCAGTGCTGTGAAAAAACGTTCACTCTTATTGCTTTTATAGGAAGGTAAGTCTGCTAGAAGCAATTAGTACTTTATCATTGTCATCAATAGTTATACTTGGGTGGGGGGGTATAACAAATTTGAATGTTATATTTTACAATATTAAATATATTAATATTAAATATTATATTTTAAATAAATTGCACTCTGGAAATACCATGAATAACTACCTTCCCGAGATAACATTAGCAGAGCAAACTTGACAAAGCTACCTCCCGATTGACAGCAAGCTGATGGCTCAGTTACACAAGTAAAAATAGGACAGCAACCTCCTGGAATCTGTTGGTGATTGTTGTGAATTTTTCCACGTGCTGCGACTGATCGTAACTTGTGACTAAATGGTTGCCCAGATCTTGAAGGTGTTGCACTTTTGATTGCACGGATCATCTGATAGGAGTCAACCTTTTTGCAAAAGGTCTTACTTGGACTGACTGCAGTCACTTGGAGAAATTGACAAAGGTTTGAAAGTAATTATTTTCTACCCTACAAATGTAGACAGATTGCCAGCATGTTTAAACAGATATTGACAATATTTTACTTAAACTACATAATTTCAAGTAAAAGAAAATGTGATAAATCACAATATATGTTATTGCAAAACGCACAAAATGTTAAAAATCTTAATACCATCGTATCATGAGCAAAGTATGGTGATAGTATCGTATCATTTTACTACAAATAAATTTCCACAAAAGTTGGGCTGCTGTGTAAAATGTTCATAAAGACTGAGTGCAATGATTTGCAGACGTCAGGAACCCATACTGTAGTCAAAATAGAACATTAAAAAATGTTCCAATGTTTAAACGGTGTGAGACACTGTGCCATTTTAAGGGGACCAAAACAAGGTCACTTTCAAATGGAAACAACACAGTTAAAAAAAAAAAAAATACTTGGGACTGGGACGCGTTTACCACTTGTTTACAATATCCACAGCTACACTGTGGGTTGTGTATTAATGACGTGGTTAATTATTTTGATTTCAATTTTTGAGGTGTCCTTGGGTGAGATGCTGAACCCCGAATCTTCACAGAGTCCCAAAAAATGAAAATATTTCGTGTTAATCAGTATCTGAATCATCACCTCCCACATTGCAGCACATCTTCCCTCACTACCAACCTCTCCTCAGGTTTTATAATCTAAAAGAAGCGTGTGCAGGCTGTTCCTCCTTACTGCCTTTATGGTGTGATTCATTCTCACTAGCAACAAGTATTCAGTTTCTCTTAGGCCTTTTTCTTATTCCCTTCACACAGTCGTGCTGCAGGTTTTCCTTCTAAAACACTGTAGCTGTTATTGCAGTGTATCAGTGTGCGGTCACGTGGGGGTTCGACTACAATACCTCGACACTGAGGACCCTTCAGGCTGCCACCGCTGCTCGTCTAACCTGAATAGCTCATGGGCAGTGCGACTTAAATCCTGATGCTTGATTGTCTCCTTTGGATGAAATTACAGCTTTATCCAGGGTCAAAGAGAATCATATTCTTTACTGCTTTTCTCTTCACCAGCACTGTAAAAATGCAGCGATCCAGTCTCCAGGTGGAAAAAGAAACAACAGCAATTATCTAATTAAATGTATCTGGTTGCTTGCAGAGCTTTGTGTGGTTTTTGTCTTTCTGGTGAGCATCAGTCAAAGCTGGCGTCACAACAGCCGAGGATGTGAGCGCCTGTGAGAGAGGAAAGTGAGCATTTTAAACCAGAAGTGTTTTCCTTGTTTTTGTTTTTAATTTGATGTTATTTAATATCAGAAACCATGTGATACGAGTACAGCAGAGCTTACTTACAGGGACCTGTTTGCCTTGTTTTATTCTTATTTAGAATTCAGGTTATTCTGCAAAAAGTGGTAAAAAATGTGAGTTGAAACTTGTCAGATTCATTTTTCCTGCCTTTATCTAAGTACTAACTGAACAGATATCATCTTTGGTTTTGGAAAACTGACAAAGGTTTGTTTACACACCAGAAGACTGACAAACGATAGACAAAACTTACCTAAATTCCCAGGGGGAGGGACAAATGCCTTTGGAGGTTGCGTCCATCCAATGTAAAAGTCTGCCAAATAAAAAAGATGTTGAGCTATTTGCTGAGGTGACAGATGAAAGTATCTTAGTTCTTGGTGTCGAACTCACTACTGCAACCATGCTGTGCCTCATGCATGTATGGAAACCCTTATGCTTGAAGGTGGAAGGTGCATTATGGACAAAGTGCGAGTTCAATATCAGAACACCATTTGTGTTCAGGCCTGGCACGCTATTCCTCCCAGTCAAACCCTTTGAGGTCACAGTTTCATCGCCCACGTGAGAGTTGAAGTGCCCCTAAATGGACAATGCAGTATCCAGATGGGGCACTTTCCGAGCTCAGTCTCCTTCCACACCCAAGAGATGATATTATACAGCCACTTGGGATTGGACCATCAGGGCCTCAGCCACTGAGAGCACTCTGAGTCCCCACTGAATAGGTCTTCATTTGACTCTTGGGAGACTGAGAGATGGGTTGGGGCTGCATTGTGTTGGTATGGTGTGGTGAAGAGACAGCTGAGTGTAGAAACCCTAGAAACCCAGCTGTAAGTTTACCCACTGATCTACACCCCTACCCTCACCTGTGGTCACAAGCATACGTTAGTGACTGAAAGAATGAGATTGGGTTTGCAAGTGGCTTCCATGAAGGGTGGCAGGCTGTTGCCTTAGAGATGGGATGAGGAGTTCTGTCATCCCATCTATAAGAGTAGAGCCACTATTGCTCCACATCAAAAGGAGTCAGTTGAGGTGTTTTGGGCATCTGACTCAGATGCCTTCTGCGTGAAGTGTTCCAGGCATGCACTACAATGAAGAGGCCCTGGGGTAGACCCAGGAAATGCTTGCCTGGGAAACCCTTGGTGTTCACCTCAATAACCTGTAGAAGGTAGCCAGGGAGTTGGAGGTTTACACTTCTCTGTTTAGGCTAATGTCCCCACAACCCAGCGCTGGATATGTTGAAGAAAATGGATGGATGGTCTTTATCTGGCTTCTCAACAAAGGCCTACTTGCTTTGGGAGATTTTGTAAGGGTTAATACACCTTTGACTACGTAGCTGTTGGGATGACTAGGGCATAGGCCAGGTCAGGTGTTTTATTCATATCCTGCCAGGGGAAGGCCTCGGGGCAGACCCAGGACCCACTGGAGACATTATATCTTTTGCCTACCTTGGGAACACCTTTGTTTCCTCCTGGTGGAGCTGGAGGAGGTGGCCGGGGAAGAGAGGTCTGGGCTATTTCATCCCCGACTTGCAAGACCCAGAAGAACAGCAGAAAATAAATGGCTGGATATATTTTGGTGAACACATTTAGTAACTTACTTTGCTCTAGTCTTCATGTCTTTCATGCATGCCGTGCAATTAATTAGTGACTTTTTTATTTTAGGATTGAAGCAGTTCAGTTGTTTGCCTTTTTTTAGTTTTCATGATAAGCTAAGCTAAGTAGTAGCTGGCTATAGCTTCATATTGTACATGGATGGAAGAACAATTCTCTCACAATTCTTTTATTTATATGGTAGGTTTTCAGAAGAA